TCGGTGAAGATGTGAATCCTCTCTCCAAAGATGTAGTGGCGCCAAATCTTCAAGGCGAACACCACGGCTGCCAACTCTAAATCATGTGTCGGGTAGTTCTCCTCGTGAGTCTTCAACTGTCTCGATGCGTAGGCCACTACCTTACTCAACTGCATCAGTACACAACCTAAGCCGCTATGAGATGCGTCACTATAGATGGTATACTCGATGCCAGGAGTAGGTTGAATCAAGACTGGTGCCTCGGTCAGGCACTCCTTCAGTTGATCAAAACTGCGCTGGCACGCTTCTGACCACTCGAATTTGATGTCCTTACGCAGTAGCTTGTTCAATGGAGTAGCGATCGAGGCGAAGCCCTTAACAAATCGACGATAGTAACCGGCTAACCCAAGGAAGCTCCTCACCTCACGAACATTCCGCGGAGTCTTCTAATCCACTATGGCTGAAATCTTGCTGGGGTCAACCTGGATACCGGTGGCAGAGATAACATGTCCTAAGAATGTCACCTCACTCAACCAGAATTCACACTTGGACAATTTGGCATACAGCTTGTGCTCTCTCAACACACTCAAAACCAATTGCAAATGTCTAGCATGCTCCTCCTGAGTCCGTGAATAAACCAAGATGTCATCGATGAACACTACTACGAACTGGTCCAAGTATGGTCGGAACACACTGTTCATAAGCTCCATGAACAATGTCGGGGCATTAGTCAATCCGAAAGGCATGACTGAGAACTCATAATGCCCATAGCGTGTCCTAAAAGCAGTCTTCGGAATGTCTTCTCTCTTAACGGAAATCTGATGGTATCCAGAACGCAGATCGATCTTCGAGAATACTGTAGCCCCTCTGAGCTGGTCGAACAAGTCGTCGATGCGAGGCAACGGATAACGATTCTTCACTGTGGCTTTGTTCAACTGCCTGTAGTCGATGCATAGTCTCATGGATCCATCTTTCTTCCGAACAAATAACACCGGTGCTCCCCATGGGGAAACGCTAGGTCGGATGAATCCCTTTTCCAGTAGCTCTTGCAACTGAGCCTTCAACTCCTTCATCTCGGCAGGTGCTATACGATACGGTGTAGCAGATATGGGTTCCGTACCCGGAATGAGATTGATCGAGAACTCTACCTCTCTCGGCGGAGGCAAACCAGGTAGGTCTTCGGGAAAGACATCGGGGAAGTCGCAAACCGTACGAATGTTCGGCTGACGTGGTGATTCTTTTCGCATATCCTGAACGTGACACAGGAACATCTCGCACTTCTTGCGAATCAAGCGCCTCGCGCTCAAGGACGATATGAACTCGGGAGTCTTGGGGAACACCTCCCCGGAGAGTGATACGTCGCTACCGTCCTCGGCTCTCAGCCGTACGGTCCGACAACTGCAGTCGACCACTGCTCTATGCTCGGTGAGCCAATCCATACCAAGGATAATGTCAAACTCCTTGTGTGGTAGCTCTATCAAATCTGCAGGGAATTGCTTCCCTTGCACGGACAACGGACA